CGCCTTCCTGCGCCTGCTGGATGAGCTGCACCGTGACGGCCGCCGCTTCGCCGTCGTCTTCCGCACCTTCGGCACTGACCTGCCCCGTGTGCTCCGCGCCCTGCGCTGCGCGCTGCAGGGGCAGCACCCCGGCTTCCCGGCCCTGCGGGGCCTGCCAGTGAGTGCCCATGGGCTGGGCTAGGGGAAGGCAGCATCAGTCTGGGGGCGCTGGGCGGCCGCAGCGCCTTTGGGCACGGTCACTCCGGTCCCCGCGGTGGTCTTGCAGCTCCCTGTGGACACCAGCGTGGGGCAGATCCGCTGCAGCGAGCAGGAGGTGGTGCTGTGCCAGGGCCACACCCGGCTCTCGACTCAGGACAACGTGCGGGCACTGTACAGCTTCTTCAGCGCCACAGAAGGGCTCAGTGGCTTCCAGGACCACTTCGACTGGTGAGGAACCAGTGGGGCTGGGGTGTAGCTCGGACGTTGCCCCACCTCCCCCACCTGCGCCAGGCAGCCTCGCTCCTGCCCTCTGCCCCTGGAGCCGGCCCTTCCTGCCCCTGCTTCTCTCCGCTCTGCTCTTTCCCGTGAGCTGGTTGCCCTGATTGCAGCCCTGGTGCAGGCACCGGGCTCCTGTCCTCCCAGCCCACCCCCTGCCACTGCAGGAGGCGCTTCGCAGACGCAAGTGTCCTGGGCTTTAAGGGCTGAGCAGAGCCTGAGAGTGCTGCACGTGATGGGCCCGGCCTGGCCAGCCACGTTGCCCACCGGCTGCTCCCTGTGCAGCGGCCCCGTGCCAGCACTGCTCCCACTGCCCTGCGTTGCAGGTGGGCCAGAAACCACTTCTCCTGCCAGGGTGGGAAGCCCCTGTGGATTGACCCCCACGACCCTGACGTCCACCACATCTGCATCGATGACAACATCCGGCTGGATGATTCGGACACCATTGTCTGCCCCCAGGTACTGGGCCTGCTGCCCCCCCAGCATGTGGGCCTGGCTGCGGGTGGGAGCAGCACTGCATCTCGCGGAGGATGAGATCACTTGTTGGCACAACAGGTGTGCATCCCTGCACCGGCTTCTGTGTGACTCATCTGTGCAGCTGCTCCAGCCCGCCAGCTCTTGCGCTAATGCCCTCTCAAGAGCAGAGAGTGCAATGCAGCCCGGGGTGTATGGAGGGAGCTGCCCCCTCTCCTGCCAGGTGGCCCAGCTCCCTGGCTTGCACCCCCCGAGTAGGTGCTGGGAGAGTGGCAGGCCGAGGGAGGTCAACCGTCTCTGAATAGCTGGCGTCCAGTTGGCGCCGCACAGCGCTGTTGGCGCGACGCCCCTGGGAGGGGGTGACTGTGGCGCTTGCACATCAATAATGTAGCAGCTCTCCAGGCGAGGCTGCAGCATGAGGTGCTGCCCGCTGCCGGCTTCTCTCTCATGTTTGCTGCAGCCACCAGGGAAGGGGTCTCGGAGCATGCCCAGCGGCAGTAGCCCCAAGGGTCCTCGCCCCCCATCCTCTGGGTTTTGGCCTGAGTCTCTTGTGCTGAGCCAGGAACCCATTGTTTGCCTGCCTGCCAGCCCAGGTCCCCTGCTTGGGCTGCCATGACCAATGCTAGGAGGACAGCTTTGGGCCTTCAGCAGTTTCCATGTATGTTGCTCAGACTCGTTAGCAGCTGGGTCATGGAGGGGTCCTTATCGCTGCAGAAGCAGCTGCCCCCCACCAGCAATGCTCTAGCTACAAAGGCCCAGGAACCACCGTGCGGGGAAGAGGAACCTGAGTGAGAAGCCCAGACCCCAGCG